GGTATTCTCCTAAGCTCAATTGCTAATTTCTCAGCATTGCCCTTATTTTGCGATACTGCGTATGTAAAACATTTTTTAAGGTGTTCAATAACACCTTTTCTGTGTAACTGCTTATGAGTTTCACGCAATTTATATAATCCATTGGAAAAATTCTTGCCTAGATGATTCTTATCCGACAACTTGTGAAAAGTGGTGTTTGGATCATCTTTTCGTACTGCCGACATCGTAGAACTGTCCTCATCGCCGATTATAACACGAACTTGCAAGCCAGTATCTTTTAAAACATTGCTGTGATTGATCAACTGAACTCCTGCATTTGCCTCCATTGCTTTGGCGCTTCCCTCAAAATTCAAACGGCAGTCATGATCAGTCTTCGGATGACCTAAATCGCACATTTTACATTTTCTATTTCATGTGGCATAATCCAGTATTTTTCCAGATAGAAATCCAATTATGGTGCTGTATCCATTTAAGCTATCGTAGCTCCGACCGTTACCGCGTTTACTCCAGCCCATGTCATATGAAACAATTATATTAATTATTTGTCCTAAAGCAGAATCGAAAGAGTTATTTTCAAAATCGAAATTGGGTTCAGTATTCGGAAGGAAAGAGGAGTTTAGAGTGTCGAGGTGCGGATAAAGGTCTGCAATGATTTCAGGAGGCCTGAAAAAATATAAGTGATTTTAATGCGAGGAAAATAAGAACAATATTTCAATTTACATTTTTTCATTTTATTTTACATATAATCTTTATTTATTAAAAGTAACAATATATTTACAATTTATTTCCTTATTCAAAAATACGAAAACTGTGTAGTTTAGAAATTAGTCAAATTCTTAAGACATAATTTAAATATTTAATCCCTCTAAATTTGAATTAGAAGAAAAATATTGATTAGCAATTGAAGCACGAATTAATTCTAGCTAAAATAATTAACAAAATAAATAATTAATATTAAAAAATATAACTTAAACATCATCTGAATTTAACTAATTGTAAATAAAAAAAAATTTTCTAAAATAATATTAAAACGAGAAGACGAGTAATATTTTATTTCATTTAAACAAATAACCTTAAATTAAATTTAAATAATAATTTGCTATTTCTAACTAATATTGTAATAAAAATTTCCGTTTACAGAATTAGTGATTTTTCAGTTTCAATTATTGAATTAATAGTTTTCTACTAATTCCTGTTCAGTAAACAGGAGTAAACCTTAAAAAGTAAAGAGTAAATCTTACAATTTTTCGCACAGCTCATTTATGTTATTCATGACTAAATGCTTTTCCTCAAGTGCAGCTCTCTCACATGATTTTTTGGCTTCTTCTTCGATTGATTTTCCGACAATATTTTCGTACCTTTTATAAAGATCGTTCGAAATGCTTGGAATGTCAGCACAGGCTAAGATTTTATTCAATGCTGTGTTACCTACGCCAGAATGTATGGCACCTATGAAACCAAAAATTAAAACCAGTTATTTTTCGCCCAAAGTTAGCATTTTTTTTAAAGACACATAACCTCGAAAGTTTAAGACTCATACGTCGCAAATGACATATACAGTTTATTATATATATTTGCAATTCTTGTGAAACACGAATAGAATAAAGATTTGAGAATTTTGCTTACCTAGAATAACTGATGCATTAATGTGTGATAGCAAAGTTGAATTATTATTCTGTTTCCCAGTGTGCACTGCTGAGATGAATTTGCACCGTTCACATTTTACAGACAAAACGGAATGTAATCCTACATGCCTTTCCCCATTCAAATTTTCTAAACTCAAAACGTTTTTGCAATTACATCTTAAATTCTTTCCAAGTTCTAACAAATCGACAATGCGTTTTCCTTGACCAATTTCTTTCGTGATATTTTCAGTTATTTGGTTGTCACGATTTTTGTCTGCTGCCATGGCTGCTAAAGCTTTAGCATTTCTATTTGCAAGCTTCTGACTAACAAACAGTCCGCTTTTCAATCTATTTATTGCAGTTGACATTTTTACTTAATTTTAACCTAAACATTACGAACTCAAACAAACTGCGTAAGTAAACAAAAGTGAACACAGCACGATAAGCAGCAAATGCAACGTTGCCGTGGTAAAAAAAAATGCGCAGAACCACCAATTTTGAACTTCTACGCATCAAAAATAACCAAAAAAATCAAAATCGTGCTCAACTTTTTTTTCTTAAAATGCTATGAAACTATATACATTGAAGTTACATTTTATTTGGAAACCACTGCCTTCGGAGAACGTCCTTAAGAAACAACTTCACTTTGATGTAAAAAAACATGTAAAAACACTTCACAATGTATTAAAAGAAAGTAAGGTTAAGTTTTATAAAATGACTTTAAACCTTGTACACTTAAAATATTATTTTACTAAAAACATTTCACGTAATGAAAGCACGATTTCTATGCACGACTTGTTCATTTTTTAAGAACAATTCTTCGAGATTTAATGTTTTAATTTGATAATTAAGCACTGAAGACAACACGCGATATCCCTAGCGATGTGCAACACAAGTGATAGATTAATTCATCTTTGAAATGACAAGCTGATTTTCTATTTTTTATATTGCATTAAACTGACAACGGCATTTAATAGGATTAGTTTTTTTCAATCTTATTTCTCCTAAAGGAATTAAAACAAACTCAATTTTAATGCGATTAATTTGATTACATTTTCTATTGCAGGATGTCATAAAATTGATTTCAACTTTAAATTAGATTTATTTGCTACAATTCGTATGCTGACCACAAGAATTAAAATGATTTTAACTTTTGTAGTAATTTTTCAGAATTCAAATGTTTTAAACTGATTTCAGTTTATCCTGTTAGGATAACAATTCAGGTGTAAACGGTTTCTAGACTAAATTTTCAAAGAATTAAGTTGGATAGAAATGAAAACGTTTCAGTCACTTTTCAAAACAAGTCTTCTATTTCAGTTGCCTGCTTTAAAACAAAAATAGTAAAATTCAATGAAATTATTAAAAATTCTGTTAGCCATACGTTAAGATTTAACAATTTTCAATCGGATCACTAAAGAACAATTCAAAAAAGGCCAAATAACAGAAATATTTAATAAAATCGGATGTTGTGGACGGGAGTTTTAACACTACTTTTCATTCAATAATTCAGTTATTTAACCTTTTTTTAAATTTTTATTAGTGATCCGATTGAAAATTGTTAAATCTTATCGTATAGCTGGCAGAATTTTTATTATTATGAAAATAACCATTTCGATGATATTTAACAAACATTGAGTTAGTTTTACTCGATCTTTGATACAATTCTGATGTAAAAAGTATATTTGACTTAAGAAGCCTAAAAAATAATTTTATATTTAAATCACCGAAGTCGATAGGTAAAGATTGTAAACCTTGAAAAACAATATTGGGTATTCTGTTAGGATTTTTAAAAGCACCAACTACTGCTACATTTTCAAAAACGCATTTAACCTTATATACTTGTCGTTTCTCAATAGTTTTACAAAAAATAGATGCTAAAGTATCAGGGCGTATTTTGCTTTTAAGTTCTGGCATGGTCATAAATACACCAATACCGCAACAAATAATTTGAGCAAATTTTGTGCCCGTCACTAATGACTTTAATGTCCCATTATTTGCACTTCCAAAAGTAAAACATGACGTTGTCAATAGGGGACCAAAATCTATTACATTTTTTGGAAGATGTAGTAAGCTATGAATATTACTGGTCATGTTTTTAAATCTAATATTTTAAAAAATATAAGCTGCTTATAATGTGTAAAGATTTACAAATCGAAAATTTAAAAAATTTGAAAGTATAATATAAGAAAATGATATTTTTTTATACACTATTAAATAGACATCAAAAATTGACTCAATTTTAAATAAAATGAGACAATTCTTAAAAATTAAATTGTAAACATTGTTGTCAGTATTAAAATTTTTAAATTCTAAAATATGTTATTTTATTATAATATTACAAAGAATATTATTTTTCAAAAATTTGACGGACAAATAATAAAAAGAATTTGATTTTTCTTTTAATATGACTTTAACAAAATCAAAAATTATCTTAACCATCGAAACAATTCGTGAAATGAATGTTAGCCAAGTAAATTTTTGGATTATGTTAAGTTTTAATTAATTTTTTTAACATACATAATTAAATTTAAAAATGGAAAACTATAAAAATTATAATTTTAAAATATGCGTGCTATGTAGAAAAAAAGAATTGTTTTGGTATAAATATGAATTAGAGTGAATAATTATCAAAATAATTAATTGAAATCAATTTTTTGATTAAGAAAAATTTCTATCTTACGCGCAGTTATGAAAACTTGGCGTGAATTATTTTTAAGTATTAATTAATAATATTTATTATTTAAATTTATATCCTACATTAATTTTTCGTTAATCCACTTGCAGTAGTATATGTAAAAAATAATTCACGCCAAGTTTTTATAACTGCGCGTACTATAGAAATTTTTTTTAATCAAAAAATTAATTTCAATTAATTATTTTGATAATTATTAACTCTAATTCATATTTAGACCAAAACAATTCTTTTTTTCTACATAGCAGGCATATTTTGAAATTATAATTTGTATAATTTTCCATTTTTAAATTTAATTATTTATGTTAAAAAAATAATTAAAACTTAACATAATCCTAAAATTTACTTGGTTAACATTCATTTCACGAATTGTTTCGATGGTTAAGATAATTTTTGCTTGGCGTAACTATTTACATGGAAGATGTTTTTGTTGGGATTTTTAATTCAAGCAATATTTTAAGAATTTAAAAATGTTATAATAAAAGCCAAAAACCGTATTTTATTATTATATGTAGTTCATTTGCAAACCTTTCCTAAAAAGAGGTTTGAAATTATACAAATTGTATCGCAGAAAATATTGTAACTCATGAAAAACGTCATGAATTATGAAGTCGTCAACTTCTTTTTATGTTGTATGTTTCAATTAAAACTTAACTAATATTTAACATTATTATCTTTCTTACCCGCTGAGTGCCACAATCAGGATAACCTTGAGTTCCACTTATCCGTAAAACATTTATTGTACCTCCACTACCTCGAAAGAAACATCTATCGTAATAACCATAAGTATAAATTCTACCAGTAAAACCTTCTGGAGTTCTCAATGTAAATTCCATTCCATCTTCACTACAAGTTTGAGTTACTGAAAATATAGAAAATAAATTTAAAATAAAAATGCAAAATGTCATGAAAAAAATATATATAACATTTTTTCTAGCAAGTATATTGCATGAAAGTCAAATTTACTTCATCGCATTTAGGTTTTTTCTAACCGGGGAAAAACATGTCGGATTTTATGTAATACTTTCTCATTATGATAAGAATGTAATAACAAGAGCTTCATCCTTTTAGTTGCTTAAATTCTTGTAATCTGCGATGGTTGGAGAGAGAAGGTAGGCGTGGCCAAATGCAGGTTGTAAGAATCATACGTAAAAAAGTTTCCGGGAGAAAATTCCGGAAAATTTGAATTTCTTATCAAAAAAGATCCCCAAATATTTGCCTGGCGTATAAGTCAATTTTGGCCAATTTCTACTGGGAAATTAACCTGAATTAACAAAGATGTAAAACCGTACTAGGAATTCTCAAAATGTCTGTTAGGTTTTAAGGTGACTTTTGGTAATATTCTACGGGAATATTGACCACAACTAACAAATATCGAAAACCAGAAGTTTTCAACATGACTGGCCGGTGTCTATAGGTCAATTTTTGTCAATTTCAATCAAAGTTACTGGGTTAGGAAAACCCAGTCAGTGACGTTTGTAACTTTTTTATAGTCAGTACACTGAGGGTTATTGTGAGTAATAAATTGAAACTAGTTATATTTAGCTTCCTTATCATGATACACTTATACATATTCAATAGATTAAAAGAAGGATTACAACTAAAATAGCGATCAATTTTCGAGGGGCTATTCACTGAAATCCAAAAGATCCAGGGACGACGTACTCCTTTTTTTGTCAATTGCACAGCCACACAAAAAAAAAGTACCCGGGCCGGGAAATGAGACCATCATTTCTTGATGTATTTTGATGCGCTGAACACGAATCTGAAGTCCGTTTAGCTCCATCACGTCAGGATTTTGACATAACCTCAAAAAACATAGCTGATTTTATATGACAGGAGAAATTTTTTAAATAATGGCAGATTTGCTTGAATCTTGTTACTCGGGGGTTTTTGGGGTCGCTGATTACGAATTTAACGTCAGATTTAATAAATTCAAAATGGCGGATCCAATATGGCGGACGAATTTTTAAAAAGTAGTTGGATTTTTACGAAAATTGGTATCTAGGGGTTTTGGGAGTCGCTGATTACAAATTTATCGTCAGATTATTCAAATTCAAAATGGCGGATCCAATATGGCGGACAAATTTTTAAAAAGTAGTTGGATTTTTACAAAAATTGGTATCATGGGGTTTTTTGGAGTCGCTGATTACGAATTTAACGTCAGATTATTCAAATGTAAAATGGCAGATATAGTACGGTGGTCAAATATCTTTATGTTTCTACATGTGTCTGCATCCAGGGTACCTCCACGCGGTGACGGTGGACAACGGAGTTTGTCCGCTATCCGGCTAAGTCCCTGGATAATGGCTTTGATGCCGTCATGGCAGACACACGTAGGAAACGTATTACGATGCAGGGACTCGGAACCCCAGTATCGGCCAAGTTACATAAAAATTCAACTATTTTTTAAAAACTCGTCCGCCATATTGGATCCGCCATTTTGAATTTGAATAATCTGACGATAAATTTGTAATCAGCGACTCCCAAAACCCCTAGATACCAATTTTCGTAAAAATCCAACTACTTTTTAAAAATTCGTCCGCCATATTGAATCCGCCATTTTGAATTTTATAAATCTGACGTTAAATTCGTAATCAGCGACCCCAAAAACCCCCGAGTAACAAGATTCAAACAAATCTGCCATTATTTAAAAAATTTCTCCTGTCATTTAAAATCAGCTATGTTTTTTGAGGTTATGTCAAAATCCTGACGTGATGGAGCTAAACGGACTTCAGATTCGTGTTCAGCGCATCAAAATACATCAAGAAATGGTGGTCTCATTCCCCGGCCCGGGTACTTTTTTTTTTTTGTGTGGCTGTGTTGTCATCGTTGGTCGTGCCAGGCCGTCTCTTGGATCTCTCATTGATCGCATTGTTTTGTTAATTCGACTATTGGCTTCACGACTTCCTTCAAGACGTATAATTTACAAATGTCGTTTATTGTTTACATTTGTGTAAGGGTTAAATATTTTATTATTTATACTTATAAATATATAAACACAATTATATTAACTTTTAAAACAGTTAAATATTTATATTATTAAAATTTTTTAGGGAAAGCAAAGTTAATTGCAAGTTAGTTATTTAAATTAAATTTAATTAACATTAAATTCTTTATTTTTTAAGGTTACTTCCGAGGTTATTTACATGAAATATTTTTAAATTAAAAATTAAAAAAATGGCACAAAATTATTTAAGAGGCATACGATTCCTAAGTTTTTTTTTATCATTTATTATTGTTTATCTCTGTATTATATTATAATAAACAAATAATTTTTCAGTTTTATTATGTTCATTCAAAATTTCAAATAAATAGTTTAATTAACATAATTTGTTGATAAAGTAAAAAATATACCAATAGTTTTAAATTTCCACATTAATTATAATTATATTAATTTCGAGTTAATTTATATTAGTAAAAAAGTAAGTATTAAATAACATGGTAATTAAATAACTCATTTTATAATTAATACTTTAAAGTGAATTTAATGTAATAAACAATAAACTAAATAAATAATCAATTGAAATAAAATCAAGATTACATTTGAATTACAGTGAAAATTAAAAATAAATTTAATTTAATAAATAAAATTCGAACATTTATTTAAAAAAACAATAAATGCATTTGTTTGTTTTCTCTGGGAGGATTTTGCGATTTGACTTGACGTTAGTTGCGATTTTTAGTCGTTTCTTGTGATCACTGGTTGTCTTTTGGGATCTCTGGCCGTCTCTTTTGATTTCTTGTCATCTAATTGTCACTGGATCTCTTGGATCTCAGTGAATAGCCCCTCGTCAATTTTATAATTATTTGTAAAATGTAAACTTTATATGCATCAATCGATTCGTTTTCATGCCAGGGATACAATTTTGACAAGAATTAATTGAAATTTTTATCTAAGAAAAAATAATTTCAAAAAATAATTTTTTTCAAAAATTCAAAAAAATTATTTAATCTATAGATTTTAGTAGAATATGAACTTTATATAGGTTAATCGATTCGTTTTAATGCAAGAAATAAGTTTTTTTTACCAAACATAATTAAATATACAAAGAAAAAAATATTTTGAAAAAAAAAATTTCAAATTTTGAAAGAAATGTGAATATATTCGGAAATCCTTGTGTCAGATTTTAGGTATTAATGATTACAATAAGCATACAAAATTTCAGGACAATCTGTTAAAACATTTCTGAGATAATTTGTACACAATATTTTGTGACACACACATACATCTGGACATTTGCTCAGATCTTTATATATATATATATATATATATATATAGTTTGCTTTTTTTTATACTATTTTTCTATTAATTTTATTTTAATTACTATTTTTCACTTTAATCGCATAACGTTATTTGATTTTTCTATTTTATTATTTATTATAGACGCCAAGTTATTTTTATAAAAAATGTTAAAAAAAAAACTTTCCAAACACAATCTTCAAAACAATGTCTGGAAAGATATGAAAAAAGTGTGCTATCGGAACGAGTGCTAGAAAAATTGAGATATTAAGTGAAAAAAATGTTGACAATAGGTAAGAGCTATCAAACCACAACTTAGCGATATCTGTGGCCGTGCTTCGCAACTCCCCATGCTTTAAAACGTCCCTACTTAAGTTGAGTAGAATGACGGGTTAAGAAAATACATTTACAAAACTTGTCGTAGAACTGCTTACTCTTATAAATAATTTTGCATAACTTACCATCAAGACACTCAGCTTCGCCTCCTTGCCTACCATTATTTCTCTCGTAAAAATCAAAATCCGTTCCTGAATCATAGTATAGAGGATTATTCATTTCCATATCCCTAGAATCTCTGTCGCTTAGTTCACAATTATTTTGATCGCCTCCCTGTTCATTGCTTAGTGGTTTAAAATTAAATGACCTGCATACAAAATGTCTTGTATCTGCACATTCTCGATCACAATTCTGTATAGATAGTGCAGAAGTAGATCCACGAATAAAAGGCTTACGCACACGCATCCTGTGCGCTACACGACGAAAGTTAGTTTGTTCATCACACCGAGCAAGTAAAGGAGGTCTGTCACTGATAGGTCCGTTTATAACAAAAGGTTTAGACTGATAAATACCACCTTCTCCTATATAACCACCTCCAACTGTTCCACCTTCTCCATATACTTCGTTAGATAAGGGCCTTATGGAATTAAAGGATAAACTTTCGTAGTAAGGTGGTCGATCATAATGTTCTTTTCCATTAACTCCAGGATATCTGTTAATTAACAATTTTCATAAAGATTATTTAATAAATTTTATTATTTTAGGCATATGAATAATGTAACAATTGAATCTTTGAGTGCAAGAAGGGCGTTAGGCGGATAACGCCCTTTTTTATATTATAGAATGACAATGATAACAATATCCTTTAGTTTAAATTACCAAAAATTCATTTCGATAGAAGCCTTTTTAACGAAGCTAGAAATAAATATCTAAGCGTATGTTACTCGATTTCATTCACTGAGAGAAATGAATGGTTGGGGCTATTACTTTTTTATTAGTAAAGGAGGTATTTACCCAACAAACACGTTCTATAAATGTTATATAACAGTGAGGACACAGTTTTATAGAACATTTGTTACAAGCTGGTTATGAATCTGTTATATAACCTCAATGTAACAGAATTCTAGAACATTGTTACAAGGGAGTTACCGATCTGTTTTATATTATGCAAACTTCACAGTTCTGTAACTAATGTTCCATCGCATATCTAGAATTATATCGGAAAAATGACATGTAACTGTTCTAAAATTTTGATAAAGTTCAGTTCTGGAATATATTTGTATCTGAGATTAAAAATTTTGAAATGTTCATAAGTACCTTAACTATTTTCTATGGAATTAATAAATAAATAGTTCATTTTACTTAAGTATGTAGTTAAATTTAAAAAACTCTAAAATTTTTATATATCACATAGTCTTATTGTTTTTTCTTTATATAAGCAATACAGTTTTTAAATCCTCCTTAGTCCGAAGTTATCAAATCAATTTTGTATTTATATTCCCATGTTAAGATAGCGTAATGGTTAGCGTATTAGTCTGTGGAGCGATATTGCTATAGAATAGATGAAATTTGACACTGTTCTAACTATGTTTATTTTATAGTTTCCTTTTTCTATTACATCAAATTTTAATATTTTTATTAAGAATAAAAATATTTTGCATGTATTTTTAGGTAATAATCTTGCAATAATGGTTATTGATTTATTTTATAGTTGTTACAAAACAATTCTAGAACTGTTACAAATACATTTGTAAACATATTCTAGATCTGTTACAGAATCTTACATATCCGTTGAGTACGACATTTTGCGTATCCAGTGACTCACAGGTTCTTAACCAGTTTCAGAACATGTTCTCAAAAAATTTATAACAGTTCTATAACTGACCTGTAACAGTGTTTTCTGGGTATTCTCCTGCCTATTTAGCTAATAAAATTCAGTAATGTTTTTAGTAAATTTTAATATTTTTGATGTCAAGCTCAACTATTTAGAATTGGTAAACAGGATATAATAACCACACCTACAAAAATAGTTCCATGCAAAAGTTTAACTAACAGAGTAGTTGGGTATACAATTTTTTTTAGTAAACGCGGTTAGCAATTGTTAGCAATTCGGTTGGCAACACTGTGAAGCACGCTCATGCTCGTGAAGCAATGTCCTGAGAAAACGTGGTCATTTGTGTTTATGTTATAATTATATTATTTCAATATAAATTATTTTATTGAGTGTTAAAAAAGTGCATGGATTTGCGTAAGTTATTAATCTCAGGGAGGTTCGAAGATTATGTAGATCGTTTTGAATGTAAGTGACAATTTAACCAATAAATCTAACCTATAAAATTTATTTATTATTATTCGCATCATACAAAAAATATGTTTAATATAAGATTTATATCTTACTTGGTACAGCAAGAAAGTTATATTAACCTTCCCAGTGGGCAAAATACCATGTTCGTTTTAAAAACGTTTTAAGAACGTTTCATGTCTGACAAATAATTTTCTAAAACATTTTGAGAACATAGATGTTCAAATAATGTTCTAGAACATTATTTGGCAGACATGAAACGTTCTAAAAACGTTTTTAAAACGAGCATGGTTTTTTGCCCACTGGGTTATAATAAACAGATTTTATTGAATGGGAATAATATTAAATAAATAATTGCGGTTGTATTTTATTTATATCGAATTACATATGTTATTAGTAAGGTTAACTAACTAAGTGTCATCTGTTATACAATATTTATTAGTTGTTGGTACTGACTGAAGTAAGTTCCCCTTACTAATAAAATGGTAACGGCAACTATTTAACTTTTTACTATCATAAATGGTATCCCTGACTATCGAATTAGCTGCAGTATAGTTAACTAACCAAAATGGTATTCGTAACCATTTTATAAGTTGCCTCAACTACTTTTTTCTCTCACTGCAGCTTTAATTATTTTTTAATTAAATTAAAATTTGAAAACAATTGAAAATTGACACTCCAAAGGAGTTTCTTTATAATCATAAGAAGGCTACTAAATTTCAGATACTATAGAAAATATAGGTACAAGTGATACTGAAAATAAGATTCTGTTTCTAATTTTGAATCGAATAAATCCAGTAACGGTAAAAAAGGTAAAAAAAAAAAACAAAACAGTGCACGGAGAAAATCTGAAAGCAATGAGTATTTTTTCTCATAGCACTGGCTACTGTGTATACCAAAAAATTAAATTTCAAAACTCTGAATGTTCTCCACACAGCACTGAATGCTCTGCAGAAAATAATCACAACTTTTTTTGACAGTAAACAGAGTTTCGTTTCATATTAGTTGACAACAGATTATTCAGAACTACAAATGTAGCAATAAATTTTTTGCTCGAAGTCGTGACTGCTGCTCTCACAGCTCTGAGTACTGTGCAGAATTATTTTTTAGAATTTAGAAAACAAAGGAACGTTTAACGTCAATTTAAAAGAAGATAGCCATAGTTATTTTTTCTTTTCAAATATTGATTTTAATTGACATGTTTATAAACAGTTAATGAATAATAGATATAAAGAAATGAAGACTTCAAAAAGTCTTTTTGAAAACTATCGCTTTTTTTTAATTTTTCAGTTATGTAGAAAATAAAGTTATTATACAATAATGAAATAATAAATAATTATTTTTAAAATGAATTATTATAGGTAAATTTTAAATATTTATTTGTATTTCACAAGTTTTAAGATTTTAAGATTTCTTAGCTAATATCAAATTACAACCTAATCTAAATTTATAGATAATTATGATTAAAAAATATTAAGTTTCAACATTATTAATTTAAATATTTATCTCATGAAGTAATAAAAATTATTATTTCTTACGTTTATTAATAAAAAGTAATTTGTTTAATATTATTAAAGTTTATTACTTCTTATTTAATTAAATATAAATAATTTTAGTCAAATAATCTGTTTTTCATAAAAATATAAGAAAACATCTAAAATTGATTAAAATAGTCTTGAACGCTTGTTTAAAATTGTTATTTATTTTTTATTAAAGGTTAAATGTTCTTTTATTTTTTTAATCCTAAAAAATAATTCTACACAGTACTCAGAGCTGTGAGGAAAGCAGTCACGACTTCGAGCGAAGAATTTATTGCTATATTCCTAGCTTTGAAAACTCTGTTGTCCATTAATATAAACCGAAATTCTAATAACTGTCAAAAAAAGTGATTATAGTGATTATTTTCTGCAGAGCATTGAGTGCTGTGCAAAAAACATTCAGAGTTTTGGAATTTAATTTTTTGGTTTCCACAGTAGCCAGTGATGTGAGAAAAAATACTTAGTGCTTTCAGATTTTCTCTGTGTGGAAACGAAATGTTGGTAAACAAAGTAGTGCCACGCGTAAGGGTTATAAATTTTTTATCATTTAAAAACTAAAAAATTTTTTTTTTAAATTTTCATTTTGAAAAAATTTAAATATTTTCATGCAAAAATTTTTTTAAAAAATTAACATTGATTGAAGTCTTAAATATATGTTTAAAAATAAAAAATTCCAAAAATATAGAGGAAAATATGTTAAAATTAAAGTTATTTTTTGTTTTAAAAAAACATTTACTGATTTAATGGCTGGGTGCAAAAAGAGCGTATAAATAGGTTATGAACAAAATTCTTTTTTAACATTAGTCAACTTTCAGTCAAGTTATCATTTGAAATTGATAGCTGCATTAAGGTTTAATTGAATTATAAAAAGTTTTTTTAATTTGAATTTACAGTTTTTGAATAACTAAAGATTAAAACTTTATCTTGAAATATCTCCGTTTGTCGCTTTTTCTTAAACGCCCTTCTTGCACCCAACTCACAGTGGTCCACCCTATTTAAAATCCCTGTACAAGAAAATGTACATGTTCAGCAGCTGAACAAATATGTCTACAGCTCACAATTCTTAATCGATTAAAAATTTTTTTTTTAAATACTCTGCATTAAATTCCGAACAAACGTAAGAGAACCGATTTTTAATTTAGTTTGTAATTTTGAGGCTATGTGAGCAAAAGTACCATAAAAAATTGAAAATCATGAATAAACTTTAAAAATTTTTTTTAAATTCACAAAAATATTTTCTTTATCAATAAAAAGACTTGTTTGTATTTGTAATTGTAACATGTCTGTTACATATTAGGTTGGTTAAATAACAATTCTATTATATGCGTTTTGGTTAGATGACAGTTTAATTATATGTCAATTGGGGAATATTCATGCGCCTCGCGTTTTCCATGTTCAAATATGAGTAATATTGATAAAACTGTAAACATTTTTTCCCATATGAATAACATTGTGTCGTCTATTTGTTTTCAGTCCAACTATCTGACGTCTTACCTAGAATCGATTCTGATGACACAAGTAATATAGCCTAATATACTTAGAATTAGGAGACATTGTCCTATAACTAAAACAGAAATTACGCTCGTAGGTATTTTTAAGGTGCTTTATCACGGTTGGCCTGAACTAAATTTTATTCAAACTTTCAGTAACTCTAAATTTTTTTGTTGATCCTGAATTTATATTTTTTTAGCATTATTTTAAGACAAAAAAGAAAAAAATCGGCAGAGGGCTTTTTGAAATATACCATTTAAAAAAACAAATTTTTTTTACTAAAAACTAAGTTACAGATTTATTTGAGTTGACTTGTTTTGTTTGTATTTTTTTTAAGCAGTCTAATAAATGTTAAGGTATTTAAAGGATAAGTAGGATTTC